TTGCAACTCATTGACTCTACAGCAATTACTCAGACAAAGCATGCCTGTAGCGACAGTGGAGAGGAGAAGAAACCTCCAGCAGAACCAGACTCAGTGTGAGCGGCCATCTGATGAGGCCGAGTGGGCTTCAAGGAGACAGAAGCAGAGATACAAAAGGATACAACCGGATGGATGGATGGATGGATGGATGGATGGATTTAATTATATGATATGACTCCTGGTTTCGTCTAGTCATATTTAGTCTTCTACAATATGTTTTCTGATTAATATAACTTAAGCTTCTGTTGTCATGAGCAGTGAGCTCATGACAACAGAAGTTTTAACTTTGTTAAACTGCTCATGTATCCTGAGCTGTGATGAAATTTCACTCTTTTCTACGTTTCCTGCCTCTTTTGGCTTTCGCTTGTTAGAACTGGGCCTGCCGGACACGGACGTAAACAGGTTGTGTACCCACTAGTAAAACAGAGGTATTTATTGCTTGAGGATCCCACTGTTTGAAAGCCAGTCATCTGCAGGAAAGTTATTGCTTTCCCAGCAGACAGAGGGACCAACTCGAAATGAACTGCAGGCTGTTTGAGGTCACTGCCGCTATTCAATGAGGAGGGAAACAATAACTCATCTTTTACTGCAAAATAATTTACAACATTTCAGTAACAACAGCTCTGTCTACACCTACTTCAGCTATGATCTGGAACGGACGGAGGAGAGATAATTCAGGAAACATTGTCAATTTCTGTCAGATCAGCTTTTCAGATCTACTTAGATCATTGCAAATAAGAGTTATTCTAAGTAGTGGCAATGGTCTTAGATATTCCAAAAGTGATTCAATTACCATTAAAATAAATCAAGATATGATATTAAATCTTCAGAAATGCATATATATTGTGATGTGTTATCAATAATTTCCATAATTAAGAGTTTGATTCCCAGTCTAGGTTCTTTGTGAATGGAGTTTGCAAGTTCTCTCTGTGCATGCAAGGGTTCTCTCTGGGTACTACCCCTTACAATCCAAAATCCTGACTGTTAGCTTAACTGGGTTCTCTAAATTGTCCTTAGGTGTGTGTGTGTGTGTGTGTGTGGGCATAGTTGTGTGTGTCTCTATATCTCTGTGTTGCCCTGTGACAGACTGGCAACCAATACAGAGTGAACCCCACCTCTCACCCATGTACTATGGAAGATCGATTTAACCCCATAATATGCTGCCAAAGATAGACACCAGCCC